TCTGTCCTTCAGCATCTCTGCCTCCTCCTCTCGCTCCCTCACAGTGCTCATCTGATGCTCCAGGCTATGCTCCCTCCGCACTACCTGCTCCTTCATCTCCTCACACTCCTCTCTGGCCACGTTCAGCCTAACCCTGAGGAGCTCCACCTCCCCCACTGTCTCATTCAGCCTCTCCAACAGTCCCCTCACCGCATCCTCCTTTTCATCTTGTAGTCTGTCTTTTTTTGTCTTCTCCTGCTCTCGCTCCCTCTCTACCTCTTCCACCCTTCCCATTAACCTCTCTACCTCCTCCTCCTTCTCTCTTTGCAATCGCTCCATCCGGCCACAGAGTGCCTTGACCTCACCATCCTTCTGCATCTCCTCCTCTCTCAGCCGGTCCTTTGTCCTCTTCACCTCCTCCTCCAGTCTCTCATTCTCTTGCTCCACCTGCTCTATTCTCTCCATCATGTGGCTGATTTGCACCTCCCTCTCAGTTACCTCCTTCCTCAGTCTCTCTACTTCTCTTTGCCTCTCCTCCTTCTCCTCTGTCAGCCCCTCAATCCTTCTCCTCAGCGCCTCCACCTCTCCGTCCCTCATCCCCAGCTCTTCACTCAAAGCCTCCCTGTCTTTCTGCCAGGCTTCCCTCTCTTTCTGCCAGGCTTCCCTCTCTTTCTGCCAGGCTTCCCTCTCTTTCCTCCTCTCCTCGTCATCTTCCTTCCTCCTCCTCCTCATCTCCTCTGCGTCCTTCCTCAGCCTCTCTGTCTCCTCCTGCAGCACCTCCCTTTCCTCTTCTTTCCTTTCTTTCTCATCTTGCTCCCTAGTCACTGCTCGCTCCAGTTCTCCTCTCAGACACTCGATCTCCCCTGAAAACAAAACCAGGTTGATTTTACTCAGAACTACTGCAACTGACCCAAATATTATTACAACTACTATCAAAGCTGCTATTACTGGTGTACCTCATATTACTACTGGCTCATGTCAGGACCTACAAACAGCCCTGACCTCTCCAAAAAAAGGATCTTTATTCTCATTATAAATAGAGTAACACAAATGCACACACATTTCGCTGAGTGATCTGAAGACTGAAGTGTGTGTTATTATTGTGTCTATGAAGGGCTAGCAGAACAAAGTTTTTAACATGACACCCACGGACCATGTAAGGCTTCTTTGGCCTGCTGCAGAGTGCAGATGTGCGTTTGCATCTGACATCTGTCCACCTCTGACTGCGAGAGCTGCTTCTGTTGCTGACCGAGCTGCTGGTGGAGAGACACTGACAGAGACCTACAGAAGGAAAGAGAGGGGAGAAAATACACATCACATGCAGCCTGGGTAACATGCTGCTAGTCTTCAGGTGTGCCCCGTACCTGAGCTCCTGCAGCTCGCCCTCCAGCTGCTCCCTGCATCTCTGTAGACTGTCCCGCTCCTCCTGCAGCCTCCTGCTCTCTCTGTGCTGCTCCTCTTGCAGTCTGTCTCTCTTCCTCACCTCCTCGCCCGCCTGCAGTAGCTGCTCCTGCACCTCCTTCAGCTCCCCACACTGAGAGGCATGCTGGGAGAACAGCTGAGGACCACACACACACACACACACACACCACATATCATACATGTGTTACTCTGTCACATGACAACAGTTCAATCCGGCTTCTCCCTACCTCCTCCAGCTGTCGCCCATCCCTCTCTCTCTCCTCCATCAGGCAGACCAACTCTCTCTCCTTCTCCTCCATTATTCTCTCCATCTCTGTCTCTCTGTTTCTTAGCTGCTGAATGACACCAGCTTCCACCTCCCTCTGACCTCTGAACAGGACAGGATAGAAAAACAAATGTAAAACTGTTGCTACTTACTAGTGGCTGATGTTTTTTTAATGTTATTTGTTGCTTATTGTGATTGTGGTGTGACTGCTGCTGGCTGTGCTACAATTTGCCCCTCAGGGATAATAAAATTATCTGAAACTGAAAAATCTGAATCAGGATTAAAGGGTTTATTACACTGAGGATTTATGTCTGTGATCAAAGGGTCTTTTTACAATTAAAGGTTTATAGTCATTATCAAAGGGTTTACATTCAGGAGTCAAGGGATTAAATTATTTGTACCCAGCATCAACAGGGTTTTTATTCAGGACTTGAGATTCAGGTACAAATCTCACCTGAGTTGTTTGCAGTCCATGTTGAGGGTTTTGACCTCTCTCTGCAGAGAGCTGACCTCTGACCTCAGAGCCTGCAGCTGTGACTGGCTGTCCGACAGCTCACACTCCACCTGGAAACAAACATAAAAAGAGACTCCTGTGATGGAGTGATGAAGGTCTGCTGTCCAGGAGCCTCTGAGCCAGGCACCATCAAAGGGAGGTGCAGAGAGCAGTGGTACCTGCAGCAGCTGTTTGTTCAACTCTCTCTTGTCTGAGGCCAGTGCTGAGTTCAAGGTGGCCATCTTGTCCAGAACATCCCGTCCCTCCTCCACCTCCCGCTTCAACACACACTCAGATGACGAGAGACGTAACACACACTCCCTCGCCTGAAGGGGGTAGAGACAGAATAGTTATGTACAAGCAAATACAAACCAGGACACTGACCTCTAGAATGACAGTGAGGAACTGGCGGGTGCTTTCCTGTTTGTACTGATGCTGGACTGGGTCTGCAGACCCTGAACCTGGTTTTTGTAGGTTCTGTCAGATGATGCTGTGATTCTACAGTAATGATACTCTGGGAATGACAACTGCTCAGCCTACAGAGTTTGAGATAGAAACACTGTGTGATCCTGTTCAGAGTCTGACAACAGAAAGAGAAGGATGTGTAAAACTCTCAGGTGAACTCAGCTGCACTGAGCACAGTGAGACTGACCACAGAGACAGCAAGTTGAACATCACAGAAACACTGTGTGGCAACAGTTTTCAGATGAAACCTTTCTGTCTTCTCTAACCTTTTCAGTGATCACACATTTTAAACACTGTTATACAGTGGGAGGCAGCACGGTGGCACAGTGGTTAGCGCCATTGCCTCACAGCGCGAAGGTTCCGGGTTCGGGCCCCACCTAGGACCTTTCTGTGTGGAGTTTGCATGTTCTCCCGTGCTTGCGTGGGTTCTCTCCGGGTA